ATGAGCTCCTTACTTCGTCAATATCTCGAGCTACGAGCTCCTTACTTCGTCAATATCTCGAGCTACGAGCTCCTTACTTCGTCAATATCTCGAGCTACGAGCTCCTTACTTCGTCAATATCTCGAGCTACGAGCTCCTTACTTCGTCAATATCTCGAGCTACGAGCTCCTTATTTCGTCAATATCTAACTGTGTTGGAAGGAAACACAGCTCCCCATCAGCCTCCCAGAATGGAATCACGTAACTAACATGATGAATACAAGTCTGTTGATATGGCTGGAAGCTATGAAAGTTAAATCGATGTTTCGGTCATTTCTAGGCCACAGTTGCTTAACAGTGGTCCAGGACGGACCGAAATGTCCTGTTAACTTCCATTTTACAAGTGTGATAACAAACATGAAGCCGCCCAAAAATAACTGTCAGTGTCGTACTACTTTTTAAAATATAAATTGTATAAGCTAAATTAAAAACGGTATCTTGTATTTAATAAACTGACAAGCCTTCCTGGATTATTTAACGCCAGGTGTGATGGAGGCTCGATCCTCCGACCAGTAATCATGGCCCATTCTATGACCAATCAAAATGCTAGTGATAGCTACAAAAAAAACGTGAACTTTATAGTTGACTAAACAGCAGATTGCTTCCAAGAGAGCTGTCTAACACACCTATTGCTACCATAATTACAAAAGGACTAATCATGGTATTTGTTGCGTACCTAGACAAGGAACCTGCAGCAGATTAGTTAATTTGTTAGGTTGAAAACCCATCCACTATCAGCGGGTCATTAAGGCTGCAATTTCCTTGACAACTAATATGATTAATACTGAAATCTCTCTCCTGTATAAATTACTAAATTACAAAAAAATATTTATGCTAGATATAAAAAATTTTTTTATAGTAAATGCAAACTTAGTGTTTATACTAAATATACAAAAAAGTTTTTATATTAAAGATTTAAGATTTTTTTTTAAATCTTAAAAACGGGAATTAAATTCTTAGATATAAACACTGAGAATTATACACCTATTAATTTATATACCCTGAATAAGGTGAGAATTTCTAGACTAAGCAAATGGTCAAATTTAATATTTCCTGAAAAAAAAAAGAATTCAATAGCAACAGACCCGTCCAGGTGCTATAGAATTCCGACTCTTGGGTATATTGCCGAAACGTTTCGCCTGCGCAGCAGGCTTTTTCGGTCAAAGAAATCTGAGGTGACTGAATACGTAAATTCTCCATTTCTTCCGCCGTCTCCAAGAAAGATATTCAATAAAGAACCCCAGGTGTTGCAGACGAGGCTTAGTTACCATCCTCAGTGTCAAACTTTGTAATAAAGCAGACTTTAATAAGGAAGCTTTAAGTTGGTCAAAATAAAGCAGACTTTAATAAGGAAGCTTCAGAAGAAGTTGGTCAAAATGAAGCAGACTTTAATAAGGAAGCTTTAATTGGTCATAATAAAGCAGACTTTAATAAAGAAGTTTCAGAGTTGGTCAAAATAAAGCAGACTTTAATAAGGAAGCTTCAGTGTTGGTCAAAATAAAGCAGACTTTAATAAGGAAGTTTCAGAGTTGGTCAAAATAAAGCAGACTTTAATAAGGAAGCTTTAAGATGGTCACAATAAAGCAGACTTTAATAAGGAAGCTTTAATTGGTCATAATAAAGCAGACTTTAATAAGGAAGTTTCAGAGTTGGTCAAAATAAAGCAGACTTTAATAAGGAAGTTTCAGAGTTGGTCAAAATAAAGCAGACTTTAATAAGGAAGCTTTAAGATGGTCACAATAAAGCAGACTTTAATTAGGAAGCTTCAGAAGAAGGTGATCAAAATAAAGCAGACTTTAATAAGGAAGCTTTAAGATGGTCATAATAAAGCAGACTTTAATAAGGAAGCTTTAAGATGGCCACAATAAAGCAGACCTTAATAAGGAAGCCTCCGAAGTTGGTCAAAATAAAGTAGACTTTAATAAGGAAGCTTTAAGATGGTCACAATAAAGCAGACTTTAATTAGGAGCTTCAGATTAGGAAGCTTCAGAAGAAGTTGGTCAAAATAAAGCAGACTTTAATAAGGAAGCTTTAAGTTGGTCAAAATAAAGCAGACTTTAATAAGGAAGCTTCAGAAGAAGTTGGTCAAAATAAAGCAGACTTTAATAAGGAAGCTTTAAGTTGGTCAAAATAAAGCAGACTTTAATAAGGAAGCTTCAGAAGAAGTTGGTCAAAATAAAGCAGACCTTAATAAGGAAGCTTTAAGATGGTCAAAATAAAGCAGACTTTAATAAGGAAGCTTTAAGTTGGTCAAAATAAAGCAGACTTTAATAAGGAAGCTTCAGAAGAAGTTGGTCAAAATAAAGCAGACTTTAATAAGGAAGCTTTAAGATGGTCAAAATAAAGCAGACTTTAATAAGGAAGCTTTAAGATGGTCAAAATAAAGCAGACTTTAATAAGGAAGCTTTAAGATGGTCAAAATAAAGCAGACTTTAATAAGGAAGCTTTAAGATGGTCAAAATAAAGCAGACTTTAATAAGGAAGCTTTAAGTTGGTCAAAATAAAGCAGACTTCTTCAAAATAAGAATGACAGTATTTCTATGTCTTTTATATAATTCCTAAAATTTCATTTATTCTTAATGAAACTTAAACGTTAATTAAAATTTTTGTAATTACGCTGCAAATGTTTTAATTTTAATTTAAAAATTACGACAGGAAAGATTTGCCATTTCGTGAGTGGTGGGAAAATTATTATTATTATTATTATTATTATTATTATTATTATTATTATTATTATTATTATTATTATTATTATTATCTGAAGCGCTACACCCGCGTGGGTGATTCAGCAGAGATAAGAAGAGAAACTCAGGTTTATTGAACTGAATAAACAGAAATAGAGGAGAGTGTGAATAAATATGACGTGAAGAAGAGGTAAAATGGAACGTTGGAACTGAAAAAGATGTGAGTTAATGAGGAAGGGAGGGAGAGAGAGAACAAGTAAAGAGGAAGCATTGAAATGTTAAGGATATGTGTAGGAGATAATGAAAATCAGCATCACACGACCATCACACCCTGAACCAGCAGCATCCTGATACACAGCAAGCCAATGCAATCATCCCCAGCTACCAGCATCACCACAACCACCCTCAGCTACCAGCATCACCACAACCACCCCTAGCTACCAGCATCACCACAACCACCCCTAGCTACCAGCATCACCACAACCATCCCAGCTACCAGCATCACCTCAACCACCCCTAGCTACCAGCATCACCACAACCATCCCAGCTACCAGCATCACCACAACCACCCCCAGCTACCAGCATCACCACAACCACCCCTAGCTACCAGCATCACCACAACCATCCCAGCTACCAGCATCACCACAACCACCCCAGCTACCAGCATCACCACAACCACCCCCAGCTACCAGCATCACCACAACCACCCCTAGCTACCAGCATCACCACAACCATCCCAGCTACCAGCATCACCACAACCACCCCTAGCTACCAGCATCACCACAACCATCCCAGCTACCAGCATCACCACAACCACCCCCAGCTACCAGCATCACCACAACCACCCCAAGCTACCAGCATCACCACAACCACCCCAGCTACCAGCATCACCACAACCACCCCAGCTACCAGCATCACCACAACCACCCCAAGCTACCAGCATCACCACAACCACCCCAGCTACCAGCATCACCACAACCACCCCAGCTACCAGCATCACCACAACCACCCCAAGCTACCAGCATCACCACCACCCAACACACCCAGGTACAAGCACACGCTATCACCACCACTACCACCTCCTCAATTTGCTTTTCAAGGCATCATCTGGGAGCGTGTTGGCACTGTGGTGATGTAGCAGCAGCTTCCTCCTGCTCCTTCAGGCAACTGATGCTGACGAAGCTCACCAAAGTGGAGAGTGTTGACAGTGTCTGGGGATCTCATAACACTCAGCCAGCGATCAAAACATGAGGCTGGCATATGTAAACATCAGGAACGTACGGATTCTTTAGCGTTCAACAGCCATTGGCGAGTTTGGGCAAGATGCTTTTTGAAGTGTTGTTGCTAGTTATGATGGTGTTATTGGTGTTAGTGAGGGCGTTAGTGTTGGTGTCGGAGGTGGTATTAGTGTTGGTGATGGTGGTGGTGTTTGTGTCAATGGTGGTGGCATCAATGTCGGTGAGGCTTTTGTTGACAATCATATTGATGTTGTTATTAAATCAAGGGCACACACACACTCACACATGTATATATATATATATATATATATATATATATATATATATATATATATATATATATATATATATATATATATATAATATATATATATATATATATATACATGTACGTATATTTATATAAATAATCACTTTCTCATTGTGAGTACACTGGCTGTTCAAACCATCGTTCCTCCTCCCTGATATATGTTACACAGTCTTACAAAAACATCCCAAAGTTAGCAGGGAAGTACACACAGCAACACTCCCCCACCTTGTGCAAAGTTGCAATTGTCGGAGGCAACTTTATAGTAAAAGAAATAGTGCCAAGAGAACTTTTATTTGTCTCTCTCTCTCTCTCTCTCTCTCTCTCTCTCTCTCTCTCTCTCTCTCTCTCTCTCTCTCTCTCTCTCTCTCTCTCTCTCTCTCTCTCTCTCTCTCTGTCTCTCTCTCATATCTCTCATAATTAGACTTAATCCTTCATGCAAGATTTTTATTCAGACTTACAACTGTTGAAAGAAAGTCAATATATCTTTATTATTCTCATGTTCCCCTGATTACCACTTGTGTGTGTGTGTGTGTGTGTGTGTGTGTGTGTGTGTGTGTGTGTGTGTGTGTGTGTGTGTGTGTCTGTCTGTCTGTCTGTCTGTCTGTGTACTCACCTAATTGTGGTTGCAGGGGTCGAGACTCAGCACCTGGCCCCGCTTCTTCACTGATCGCTATCGCTCTCTGCTCCCTGAGCTTTGTCATACCTCGTCTTAAAGCTGTATATAGTTCCTGCCTCCACTACTTCACTTGCTAGGCTATTCCACTTCCTAACGACTCTATGACTGAAGTAATACTTCCTAACATCCCTGTGACTCGTCTGAGTCTTCAGCTTCCAACTGTGACCCCTTGTTTCTGTGTCCCCTCTCTGTCACATCCTGTCTCTGTCCACCTTATCTATTCCACGCAGTATTTTATATGTCGTTATCATGTCTCCCCTAACCCTCCTGTCCTCCAGTGTCGTCAGGCCGAT